ATTGTCTAGTTTCCTCAAAAAAAATAAGGAATAGTGTTGGAACACTGAGCATCGGGAGGTTTTTGACAGGGTCAAAACTAGCCTTCTTCATGCACCAATATTGGCGTTGTCAGACCCCAATCCTACTTATAGTGTCGTATGTGACGCTTCGGACTTTGCCATTGGCTGTATACTGCTGCAACCAGACGCCGAGGGGCAAAATCGGGTTATCGCGTTCGAATCTCGCCAGTTTGTGGCTATGGAGAAGAACTACCCAGTCCACGATAAGGAATTACTTGCGATGAAGTATGCACTTGTAAAGTTCAGGGTGCCCCTGCTTGGCTTAAAGTCGTTTGCAATCTACACAGATCATGAGTCATTACGCACTGCGACTCAGTCGGTTTAACTTTCGCAGAGGATGGCCAGGTGACTCTCGACCTTTGCAGAATTTAACTTCGAGGTGAGGTATCAGCCAGGAAAGCAGAATGCTTTGGCTGATGCGTTGTCACGCAGACCAGACTATGGGCTTGCTCCGTCACGACGGTGACGTCGTCCGTGACAGATTTGATAAGTGCCGCATACGCGGGTGATGGTATGCGTGTAGTGCTGCTACGGGCTTTTGGGGGCAATGTGTTTTGAGACTCGGACAAGACGTTGTCGTCGCGACTGCGCACACGGCTGCACCAATATTCTTTGAATAATGGATTGCTGTATTTTTGCACCGATCCAACGGATACGCCACGAATTGTGTTTTCCACTATGAAAATTTGAAGTACCGTATCCTCAAGGAGGCCCACAGCACCCCACTCACTGGTCATCGTGGTCATGAGAAGATCTACAGCTCTGTGAGTTGCCACAACTGGTGGCTCAAGCTGTACAGATGGACTAGCACATATGTGCGCAACGTGTGAGAGGTGTCAGAGGGTGAAACCATCTCCAAATGCGGCAAGGCCGCTGGCCATTTCGCCGGTACCCTCCTGAAGCTGGCAGCTTATGAGTATGGACTTTATGCTTGGCCTACCGAAGAACTCGGTGGGCAACGAGTGTGTAGTGATCTTTGTGGACATCTTGCGGTTGTGCTGGACACCATCGAGGGTGTTGGTACAGCGATGATATTTGTGGATCGTATATTTGGACAACACAGACTATCGGAGTCAGTTGTTTGATAGTGACCCGCGATTAATTGTGAAGTTTTGATCTATAGTCTTCAGGGTGGCGGATACCAAGTTCCGCAGACCGATGGTAAACTGAGCGCGTGAATGGCGTCGTCAAAGACGTTCTTTGCAGCGTCTGCGCTGAGACGCTGAAGCGTTAGTGCGCTATATCGCCACTCGTAGAGATTGCTCTGAACAATGCCGTGTATTCATCTACCGGCTATACACCGTTCTACGTGAGCGGGCTTGTTTACACTCGCGTTCCGCTGATGCCGCCATCCCGTGGCTCAAGGCTTGGTGGGGGAGGAACAGCCAAACGACTAGCTGATGACAGCTGCCTCATCGTTCGTAAAGAAGTCGGAGACTTCCAGTCTTCCAGACTGGGTGTCTTACGACACGCGGTGCGATGGTGGAAAGCCAAGACATGCAGAAGAAACATGCAGACGGATGAGAGAGAAGAGATTTTGTAAATATTGTGGTTGGAGATCTGGTTTCATTAAGCGCTAAAAGCCTTCCTACACAAGCAGTCTCTGCTGTTTTTGAGACGAAGCTCCGATCACAAATTATTGGAACTTTAAGGTCGTGACCAAGCTAGGCCTTGCGTTCAAGCTGAACTTTCCGAGTAGGATGCGCACCCACCCGGTGTTTCATGTAGGCTTGCTTAAGCCGTATCGGGATCCGGTGCAAGTGAACACGGAAGAGTTGGTGTCGGGGCGGCGCCCACAGGCGCTCGGCCACCCAGAGCCGAACCAGCAATTAGTTCCGATCACGGAGTGCAGCAACTTCCGTTTCCGACGGCGCAAGGTATTCCACCGTCTCACGAAGTGACGTATTTGCCTGGTCGACGGGTAGGAGCAGCTCCGATAGTGCACGATAATCTCAACGTGAGGTAGTCAGTGCACAAAGTGCTCCAGGCTTTCGAGGTATTTCGCACAGCGGTAGACGACCTTGTTGAGATGTTCGGCAGAATGCCGATGACGACGGAATTTGTTCTCCAACGCTCAAAAATCATCGCGAGTCACCGGACGGCGATCGGTCAAGTCAACATCGTTCGCCGCCGACTCTTCTCGATGAGGATGGTGATGTCCACATCCACGTAGAACGCCTTGTGTGTTGACGTTGTCGACTGGGTTTAACCCAGTATCTTGTGAAGTGGTGGGCATACCCAAACTCCGAGAACTCGTGGGTGTTTGAGGTGCCACTTCGGCAAGATTGCCCAGACGACGTGCACGCTTATGCTCGGAAGGATCATGACGCTTCGCATCGTCGTGAGCACCGCGCTTTTTGGCAATAGCCCGGGAAGTCAGGAGGCCATGTGCTGAGCTCAAGCTATGGCCCTGAGCTGCTGTGGTCGTAGACTCACCCGTGTGAGAAACCACAAAACTCGCGAGAGCGTGATGAATTGTTCCATATGGCACACGTCGACAAAATGCGGGAAATCGGCAGTTTGGCAAATCCAAATCTAAGATGGCGCTCGACGCGCACGTCCACTTCTTGTGGCTTCGCCGCAGTGTAGTCAGCGAAGAAAATTTACTGTGCCGCTGAACGCATCTTTCAAAAAACGCCTCATCATCTGCAGCGATTTTGCCGGGGCCGAGCACCACAGGTCTGGTCTGCATTGCGGATACAGGAGCGCCTCCTTTTTGCGCTCAAAATCAAGCGCGGTACCGATCCATTGTGATCTCTTGTGGTTCCAAAAGGCGAGCTCGCAGAGCTTTCCGCTGATCAGTTTTGCGTGTCGTAGGCAGGGCTCATAGAGCGAAAATTGTTTAATGTTGTTCTAAAAAAACGGTTAGGTGTATCAACCATGCGAGCCTGTATGTAATTACTCAGCGGTGTGGCTACACCGCGACAAGAAGCCACAACGTGGCAGGATTGCTACATTACTATACCAATTAAGTTTTGCTATATTAATCAGGTGTTTCTATATTAACTAGAGGAATCTAGGGTTTTCAATATTGGCGGCTCTGCCGCAACTAAAACAATTAAATGCAGTTTCAATTTTGAACAGAAATGTTTGCTTGCCTTAACTAAGGCTTTAATGCTTGTAGGTAGCGCGCTACACTCCTACTGGTTCGTAGAAAGAATGTAAGGTCTGTGACCTTAGCTTAGCCTTCTCTAAGCAAAGAGCTACGGCAGCCCCGCTGCACCCTGCTAGCGCGATCTCATAGATTTCGAGTAAGCGATCATGACTTCTAGTCCTTTGGCCATAATCCAACAATAGTCATAGGCTAACTAAGCGTGTCTCGCTGTCCAGATGGAAAAATTGTTCTTCTATGCCCAAAGAGGATTCCGTCTCTTAAGGAGTCAGTATTCAAATAGGCTACAAGTTCTGCTGAATGTAGCGGTGCTGCTGAGCACCATGGACAGAATTTGTTTTACTAAAACCTTTCGTACTATCAAACGCACAGAGGTTGACTTTGTACGCGCCACACAGAAGCGAAATCAAGTCTCAAAGTAACTCAGTACTAAATTTATCTTCTTCTTATATAGATATATAGAGTGACATAGATTTAGATCTTACTTCCTTTAAATCAGTTACAACATTCTTGACATGAGATCAACATCCTTCGCGTCTTAAAGATTTCTTCTTTACGCAGTATGAACGTCTTAACCTGTACCAGTACTGACAAGATTCGCATTAATACACAAAATTGAAATGTGTATGTACAAAATAGTACATACAAATTACAATTGTATACAGCACGAACCTCGTTACAGCCAAGCTTGGGCCGGTTGTAACTGGGTGTCAAAATCTCCCGTACCAGAGCCGGTGTAATCGAAGGGCTATTCTAATTCGTAAAAGTGCTACACCCTGGATCAGAGTGAAATGGCTTATAAAATGCAAGATATTACAATGAGACCAAGATGTGAAGTTTGTTGTTTGAAGAAAATCACTATATTAAAAAAATAACCAGCTTGAAAGCTGGAGCGATACTGAGTTCGCGGCGACAAGGTCAATCGTAACGCTGTGAAATGTTGTATTATTGTTATTGCTATGCATGGGACAATTGCATCTTTGTTGTGCAAAAAAAATCAGACATGTATGATGTCACGCACGATTGAGACGACGTTTTTCGCGGCGTCTGCGAGAAAAGACGCTCTTTAAAAAGCTCGATTCAAGGGTTGGCAACCGAATGGCGATCGAATTAGTCCAGTTGGAACGAAGCATCGCAAAAGCTAAGCACGTTGGCGTGTATTTCTATTTACCATGGTGTCCAAGCGTTTCAATTTACACTTAGTTATGTCAAGGCATCTGACATGCTGAACGACTTTTTCACCAAAGCAATAACTGAATTGAGTTGTTAACATCATAAGGATCCAAGATGCGGGCGAGGAAGAATATAATTACTGAGGTATGGACAATATATCTGTAAGGAACCACACTCACATGTTCTATGATTCTAGAATACGTTATAGAATGTATGTGAGTGTAGGTCTCATGTTGACCTATACAGAATGTGCATACGTTCAAGAATAGATGATACATATATTCAAAGTAGTTAAAGGAAAGGCAACATCATAGGAGGAACGACATTCAAAGAAACAGCAGGAAGAAATAGGATAATTTACATATATCGTTAAAGAATAATCTCACTTCTTGATTCGCCAACTACTGTCCAGCACCTCATTAGTGCAAACCTTACACTTGGTAGCACTTGTTGGCCGCCTCTCGTCGTCAATACTGTTAAGTGTGTATATAATAATAAACACTATTTATACTGTGATAATTGTTAGTATAGGAAATCGTTCTAAGCAAAATCATTAATAAATTTTGAGACAAACTCGTTGTTTATACTGTTAAGTGTTTATATCATAAATACTATCAATACTGTGATGGTTGTTTGTATACGAAAGGGTATATGCTGTCCCTTATTTTGCCCAATCGGTTTTGGAGGCGCTGTGGGGTACCGTCGAGTATGTGGTTTATCTATCTACCGCAATTCTGAGAGCCTGCATTAGCAGATGGAGCCACTCAGTTGGGTATCGAGGTTGGACCCGGCTTAATAGTTCAAAGAAGGTAATCCATTTCGGAAAGTTTAAGTCGTGTACGCACAAGCCGACCCACACTTCCTCACTCATTACCTTGAGTCGGTTTCTTCGGTGAAGGGAGTAGGCCCAATTCAGTCATGCACGTGCTATGAGAAAGAAGTGCCGTACTGAATCTCAAATTCCATTTGATTAAATCTTTGGTCTTCGGCTCTAATTACAAAGCTTCGAAAACCGCGCAAGATTTCCTCATTTCCATCAAGAAATCTAGTCCACTAGCTTCAAATATTTTCAAGCGTCTATCAAAAAATTTAAAGCAAGTCTCTTTTCGATCCCTTTCAAGAAGTCGATACTCTGCTCCAAAGGATTTTAGTAAGAGATTGACTTATAATGGGAAAAGTGAAGTAGAGTCTGTTCATCTTTATTGGACAAACATAGACAATTATTTCTCGGCGCAAAGAACGGAGTAGAACGAGGAATCTGGTGGCAGTGCTTGTAAGCACTTTGCGTGGAGCTGCAGCACAGTGGTTTTGCTTCACCAGTCTAAAATTGATACGGCGGAAGCATGTTTCGTTGCTTTGGACTAAGGGTTTGTGCCAGTGGACCTGCAATATCGCCAACGTGATAAATTGCATCGATTAAAGCGAAAAAGTTGTGAAGACTTATCAGAATAAGTCGCCAAAATTTGCCAACTTATTTCGCAAATTAAAGACATGGCGGAGATCGATCAGATCATATATTTACATAGAGGATTCCGGCAAAGAACAACAGAAGAAGTACAATATCGACCGTGCGAGACTTTAAACACGGCTGTCTCAGTCGCGCTCGATTTTGAGCGTGCTCATTTAAGTAAATTAAGTGGCTATTCAAGTCAAACACCACATTATCCACGTCCTGGATCACAACCAGTAATCCAGCCATCTAATGAATATGAGCCTATGGAAATTGACCATGCTCGCTTCTTTCAAAGATCGCTTGCTTTTAAAATCATTGTTAAAATCGCCTTTCCAATAAAACAAAGTGTTCGTATTGCAAGAAACTTGGTCATGCTATGCAACAATGTCATAAGAGGAAGAACAGACAACAAGGCAACTATAATCAAGATATTCAAAATCATAGTAATCGCGGCAATATTTATTACTTCGAAAATGAGTTTGTTCATGAAGAAACGATTGCCACAACGTCTAATGAAGCTATCACAACACTTACTCAAGCTGAAACTGCAAACTATAGCGAAGGGGATTTAATCTTCAAGAAAAGAGGTCCTGATGATCATGCTGTGCTGGGTGGTGGATTCAGGTACCACGTGCCATGTGGTCAAGCCAGGATTTTTACAAAATATCCATTCTGAAGAAGTAATTCAAGTTATTTGTTTTGGTGGCAGCAATTCTATATAGAAGAAAGTAAAGAAAGGGTTTGCACACAGATCCTTTTAACTTTTAGACGTTCCGGTCATGGAAATGGCCAATGATCAGTAGTTCACATGAAGTTATTTTGATCAAACCTTGGTTTACAGCTCATGAACCACTTATCAACTGGAGTACGCATCAAGTCATATTCAATAGCCAGAATGTTCCGTCTGATTCGGCAGTTGAACATCATGAAATATCGTCAGATTTTCAAAGAAATCAAAGAAGACACAGAATGAAGAAGTATTTCGTACCAAAATCTGCCAAGTCTCCGATACGGAAGAGCCAAGAGAGTATCAACTACGATCATTGCTGGATTCATTTAAGGATGTGTTTTCAAGAAATTTCCAGATGCTTTACCGCCGCATCGTTTGGTAGAGTCTGAAATGGCCATGAAAACTGGAGCTCAGTCAAGCATTCGACCACCTTTTTATCGATCTCAAGTGGAACAAGATGCTTTGCAAAAGCTTGTTGACAAAAACAAATCACGCGTTTGGATCGAATTATCTGACTGGCCTTGAGTATCCAGTATATCTGGTATACCAAAGAAGGATCCGAAGACAGGAAGTTATTTCTCGTTCTGAATAGATTCGTTCTAGTAGCTCTAACATAGTGTTACAATGGGTTATTGATTTTCGGTATGTCAACTCTCAGATTTTTATTCCAAAGATATTCCTTGCTACGTCTTGATGAATTATTTGACAAGATGCAAGAAAATTGTTATTCTACTGTGATCAATTTGGCACATGGTTATTATCAAATGCGAATCCATCCTAATAGGAAGAAATATACCGCAATTTGAACAAGTAATGAAACCTAACAATGGTGTGTTGAGCCAATGGGTTTTGCAGGAATGCCGGAGTTTGGTCACGTCTTATGCGAGTTATTTTTGGAAAATGTCCTTTTGCTGTTGTATGCTTGGATGATATCTGTGTGATCTCACACACCTACGCTGAACATTTAGTTCATTCGAAGACAGTGTTTCAAAGGTTGCGCAAAGAAAAGCTTTATTCGCATATGGGGAAGTTCAAATTTGCATTGGAAGAATTTAGCTTCCTGGGTCATGCTGTATCTGGAAAAGGATTGTTTGTTGAAAATTTCAAAACTGAAGCAATTGCTAAATGGCCAGTCTCATCCTCAGTCAAGGATCTCGATTTAATTATCGAATTATCGAACATTCATCATCGGATTGCTCAGATTTGCTTTGCCACTAAGCCAACTTGTGATGAAGGACACACACTGGCATTGGGGAAAAGACCAAGATGCTGCATTTGCGAGTCTTACGTCTGCTCTCCAATCTGCACCTGTACTGAACTTACCTAATTTTCACGCCCTTTCGTTCTCACTACGGATGCGTCAGGGCTGTGTACTGGTGGTGTCCTTTCGCAATTTGTAAATGGTCATGATCATCTTGTTGCTTTGCATTCCAAGAAGTTTGGTGTTCTTGAAGTTAATTGGCCATGTACATGAGATGGAACCAATGGCATCATTATCTTTATCAGTATGAAATATTCACTGATAATACTGGCTTCCTCATCATCCAAACGTATCATCAAAGTTGGCAAGATATTTGACAGCAATATGTTTACAATAATGGTGTTATCAACGTCGTAGCTGATGTCTTGTCGCGTCGTCCAGACTAATCTGCTCCTTCTATCATTGACTTTCATGATTGTGATGCTAATTGTCAAGCTCGTGGTTCACGTTTGCAAGTGTCACCTTCTGGGCTTACTCTGATCCGGGAGGGGGGCAGGTCGCTTCAAGCTGCTGCAGTAATGACTGCATCGTATGTCGAGCTGACTCCAGATGTTCGAAACATGTTTCATCAAAGTTATGCCAATGATCCTGAGTTTCAAGATTCAAGGGCAAAGTCTGATACAGACACATCGTAAATCAAATATGATGAATTGTTATTCCTTCGAACTTCTAACAAAGGTCAAGACTTTGTGTTCCGAGCAACCATCGCATTCGAGCTCAAGACATTTATCAATATCATGACTCTACAAAAGCTGTTCATCCTGGAAATTGTAAGAAATTCTTACGAGTTGCGCTATAGTATCATTGGAAAACATTGCGGAACATTATCAAGAAATACTTCAAGACGTGTGAAACATGTACACGCTGGAAGCATGGCAATCAACGCAAAAATAGTTCGCTTATGCCTATTCCAATTCCAGAGCAATTCTGGTATGTTGTATTCATGGATTTTATAGCAGGATGTCCTGTTTTAAATGATTTTTATGCAATTCAAATTTTGTCGACAAATTGTCAAAATGTACTATGTACGCTGCAGTGTATGCGAATGATGACGCACCTGTAACAGCCAAAACATTCTTTGAAGCTGTAGTTCGACACCATGGCTTACCTGAAGTTATCATCAGTGAAAGAGATAGCAAGTTCACTATATCGTTTTGGAAATCTCTGATGACAATCATGGGTGTTCGACTTAGCATGACAACAGCTCATTGAGATGGACAGACTGAACAACAAAACTTAATTGTTGAGGATGCATTTAGATGTATGGTGTCCTATCATAGTTTAGATTGGACAGGTTACTTAGGCACCACAGAATATGCTCATTCGATACTAGTCAGCGCATCCACGGGTATTCTTCCTTTGAAATTGATACTGGGAGAAAGGAACGCTTTCCATGGCAAAAAAGATTATGTTCAAATGATGTAAATCTAAAAATTGATGTACAGATTAAAGAGTTTGTGGAAAGAAGACAAACAATATTTGAGCAAGCACGAAAGATCTACTCATAGCTCAAACAACTCAAAAATAATTCTATGATCAGAAGGGAAGAGTTAACCAAATTGAAGTCAGAGCAGGAGATCTTCTTATGCTAGATACTCGAAGAATCTCTCTCAATCATGCTGCCAGAGATATGGAAAACAAAAGGGCGAAGTTGCAGCAAAAAAAGTTGGGCCTTCTGAAACCATTAATTTGATAAATCCCAACGTAGCAAAACTCAAGTTCTCACTAAGATGAAGAAAAATAAATCCAACTTTCAATGTTGATGTGCTGTCAAAATATGAACCAACACCCTATAAGCTCCTTAGTTGTCCTATAACCAAAGCGTCCAAGTTAGTGAACAATGACTCAGCGGATCAGCTCCAAATCATCCAGCGTCTTTTGATGAAGAGACAATTTAATCGCCAACCAGAACGGTTTGTTTAGTGACTTAGTGAAGAAGAAGCTAGCTGGAAAAAAGAAAAGATAATTGACACGTAGCTCATTGGAATGATCTCGTCGCTGACTTTGGACAGCGCCAACGAGAAATCAAATCGGGGAGGATGTAAAACACAACACTCACATGTTCTATGATTCTAGAATCCGTTCTAAAATGTAAGTGTATTCTGATGCATTTTTTATGATCTCAGTGAAGGGGTCAGCGGGTTGTATATGGCTCGATACAAATAAATCTGCCTCTTTATTGTCCCTTGCATTTTTCACGGTAGTCTCTTATTCTTTGTCGTCGGAAGGCGAAAAATATAATAGCGCGTGAGCACCGAGACCTGGCATCAGTCCACAATCCCCCACTCACGGTCGCGAATGCAGTTGATTTACTGAGCTTGGAATGCGGATGATAGAGGCCTGCTTATCCTCAGCCTATTGTAGAACAATAATGTATCGTATTTTTTACCTCAATCTTCAAAGAGGCGAGCCTTCGTATCGATGCTATGCTAGTGTGGGTACATAACTGTTTCAACAAACCAATTTCTTAGATCACAACTTTAGCTTCGCAGAAAAGCGGGTAGCAGAATCCCTTAAATAAGGTTCGGCTCGACTATATTATGAAGAAATTCGATGCAGTCATGAATTCTGACTAGTTCTAAAACTGTTTTTGCCATCGCTAAAAAATTCCTTGACCGGCTTTGTTTTTGCTACACCTTCGATCCGGACTCTATCGCGCTGCCTGTTTCGCAGCATCTTCGACACATTTAATGCGGACACGTTGCCAGGCGCTCTCGGTTTCCATGGCGCTTGGACCAGTGTACTCAGTCGTTTTTCGACGTCGCTTCACGGTTTCTTGCTATTACATTAAAGTGTGCTAAAGCCTCATCAATCGTCTGCTTTGTGCAAATTGCTTTTGTGCTGCTCATCGCTCAGGGGATATGCTGGCTGGTTTCACCTAGAAGACCTGTGCAAACCATTTGATTACATTTTCACGTGCGCCGTGCAACTCATCACTAATCTGCTCGACATTCTGGACACTGAACTGACATCGTCAGTAAACATATGCAAAATATATGGCACAATATAACTCATTCACCTCACTGCTACCCATTGAGGTCTCACAAAAGTAGCTGCACCCTCATCAGCCGGCTTAGCTTTCGACTTTTTCTAGGAAGAACTCCTAAGTGCCCAATTCTTCTCCATCTCATTTTTGAGCTATTTCTTTTCTCTGTGGGAAACATTAACTTACGCCACATCGGTTGAAATGCAGGTGCATACTACAGCAACATATGACCCTTGCCGGCGCCAGTAAGGCGCACATGACACATGGCGTTTGTATAGAGGCCAAGGATATGGGTTAGATAAGATGTTCGTAGCTTTTTGTCCAATCCACGCATTCTAGTGACGCAGCGTCTGCCAGCCAAAACACAGGGTCGAGCTTGGCTGCAAACGTTCTTATATGCGAAGAAAGTAAACCTCTTCACTGGTTAATGACTTGTCTGATAAAAAGCGATTAAATTGCTACGCTGCTGACACGGCTTGATGAAGTCAAAGAAAACGATAAAGAACACCATGCGTTCTGAGCAACAGGAAATTGCACGACAGGAAAAAAAAGTGGAAGAGGAGCAGCCCGTGAATTCAAATGAAAGTGATGAGCATGACGAGGCATCGGACCAAGCCAAAACTGAGAGCACCAACTTGACAAAGAGCACCGCAGGTGATATTTACTTTTCCAGCGAGGAGTTTGCTTCTTTGCCGCTGTCTGAGCCTACGCGGCGAGCGCTGGCTGACATGGGCTTTACCAAGATGACCAAAATCCAGAGCAAATCAATTCGTCCATTGTTGGCTGGACAGGATTTACTGGGTGCGGCCAAGACAGGTTCCGGCAAAACGCTGTCGTTTCTAATCCCAGCAGTCGAGCTGCTTCACAAGGTGCGCTTCACAGCGCGCAAGGGTACTGGTTGCATTGTCATCTCCCCAACGCGGGAGCTGGCGCTGCAAATTTACGGTGTGGTTCGTGAAATTTGCAAGTACCACTCACAGACGAACGGTATTGTCATGGGCGGTGCGAACCGCCGTGCCGAGGCTGAGCGTCTTGCGAAAGGCGTGAACATTCTTATCTCTACACCTGGTCGTCTGCTTGACCATCTCCAAAATACGAAAGCGTTTATATACCATAACCTGCAGGTGCTTGTAATCGATGAGGCTGACCGGATTTTGTCGATAGGCTTTGAGGAAGAATTGCGCCAGATCATCAAGTGTATTCCTAAAGAGCGTCAGACAATGCTATTTAGTGCTACACAGACGAAGAAGGTAGAAGATCTAGCTCGTTTGTCAATCAAAGAAAAGCCTGTGTACGTCGGAGTCGAAGAGGAAGACACAAAAGCCACAGTCGCTACACTGGAGCAGGGCTACGTTGTGACCCCTAGCGACAAGCGTTTCCTCTTGTTGTTCACGTTCTTGAAAAAAAATCTGAAGAAGAAGGTGATGGTTTTCTTCTCGTCATGTAGTGCTGTGAAGTTCTACGGTGAATTGCTGAACTACATCGACATTTCTGTACTCGACATTCACGGCAAACAGAAGCAGAACAAGCGGACAACAACATTTTTTCAGTTTTGTAATGCAAAGACTGGAATATTACTATGCACGGATGTTGCTGCACGTGGTCTAGATATTCCAGCTGTGGACTGGATTATTCAGTTTGATCCACCTGATGATCCTCGCGAGTACATTCACCGAGTTGGTCGTACTGCTCGAGGTGCTCAGGGTAAGGGTAAGGCCTTGTTAATGCTTTTACCGGAAGAGCTTGGGTTTTTAAAATTTTTAAAGGCCTCGAAAGTAGCCCTTAACGAGTACGAGTTTCCGATTTCAAAGATCGCAAATGTCGAATCTCAACTTTTGAAGCTTGTAGAGAAGACGTATTACCTTCACAAGTCTGCCAAGGATGCCTATCGTGGCTACTTGTTAGCGTACGCCTCGCACGCTTTAAAAGGCATTTTTGATGTCGGCCGTCTCGATTTGCAGGGCACAGCCAGGTCTTTCGGACTACAAGTGCCACCTAAGGTAACACTGCCAGTGAAGACAAATGGAAAGACTGGCAAGCGCAAGGTCTCATCTGATAAGGATATCAGCTCTCGAGGTGGTAAGTATCAGCGCTCCGGTCATTCATTTAGTGCCGACAATCCGTACGGCAAGCGCGCCACTGGTGACAAGCGCCAGTTTTCTCATTGATAGATAGGCTTTGCGATTTCAGCAAAGTTATACTTAAACGAAGGAAAGAATCAATTTATGTGAATACCAAATTGACTTGACAAAAGTAAAATTTTAATTTGAAAGTTTGGACTCCTTCTTCACCTTGATTAGGTTAATTTACTGTCCAACCCCACGTAACCATCCTGCACAGTACTATAACGATACAATTAAAAACATTCAACACAAAATTAATAAAAATACCTCAAAGTATTTCAGGAATTAAAGTGGAGCGATAACCCAGATAGATAGAAAATTCAAAAACATTTAGAATATCTCCAAGAATTAAAATGTACTTGGCAACTCTCGAGTAGATGTTCCTCCTATACAAGTCAACAAAGTTGCACATCATTAGTTGGCAGAATGACGAGTACAAGGAAGGTCTAGCTCGTTCACATATTGGACCATGTGAAGCGTGGTTGGAGGGGTCAGAGGATTTGTTATGTGGCTCTGTGTGTTCAGAGACGCTGAAAGATTATATTGTGACTATTACATTGGCGACCAAACCGTGCTTTTTGCACTGGGTCGCACAGAACGTACGACCAGGCTTGCATAGGAGGTAGCTCAGTCAAATGTAAGGCATAGCCGAGGACGTATCACGCGTAGTGAGTGATGAGATGGGATAGTCTGTTTGAGTTCACCACAGAGCGAGCAATAGATAAGAAGATTAACAGGAAGCGCCAGCTTCTCTCGTGTGTGTGCTGGCACTAGAGAGGAACAAGAGAAATATCATCAAGAGCACTACAACTGTCAAGATCGTGCAGACGAGTGTTGCGGGTTCTGAACCGCCTGAAGACAATTTCTAATTACTACCGCATGCTTATACTAAGTGATCAAAGAAGAAAATCTGTTCACACAGATGATTGCGTCGAGTGGTCAATATTGATCGCCGTAGCAGTATAAATAACCGAGCCCTTGGACAGGTTTGACTGGTGCAGCGACATCATAAAAAACCTTCTGTGCTCTGCAGTTTTCTAAACCGCGTCAGCATTACACGACAATTGTCAGGTTAGACTTGGTAGATTAGTGATTCATTCGTGGTCACAAATGTCATTAAAGCCGAGGTGCATGTGCTTTTGAAAGTCTTGTATCGTTGACTTCAACCCGATGATACTCATTGCCAAAGCCGAGGAACCAATCATCATCGCTAGCAAGTACACCATAATTGACTCGCGTTTATACTTTTTGACCAAAAGCGCCACTATACTTTGGCCACAAAACCCTCCAATGCAGCCCATAAAGGCAAACCACATTATGTAATCATACTGACGCTCACCGGGAAACTGACCATTAATTGCAAATTGCAAAGTCGTTGAAGAAGATGTAAATAGAATCATAAAGCTGGCAGTAGCGGACTGCACTGGGGGCAAAATTCCCATTTCTAACATGATTGGACCCTTTACCATGCCACCTCCAATACCCAACAGACCAGCACACATGCCAGCCAAAGAGCATAAGGCCGGAAATACAATGATACGCTTTTTAATCCAATGAATCTCACCCTCAATGAATGGGTAGTTCCACATCACTTTCAAGCGATTTTGTAGACGCAATTGATGACCGACCCAAAGCGTGATGGAAATCGGAACTAACAACGGCAAGAATGTCAATATCCAGAATTTCGTCGAATTACAAATGACTCCGACAACACTTGAAGTGCCGTGACCACCACGAAGCATCGACTGCACTAGCACGACAAGCCACGAAATCACCATTGGGATGACGTACTTGAGCGGAAACTTCTTTCTTTCGCACTGCTCAATAACTTTGCGTTTCTGGAGCATTTCGTCATCATCTAGATCAAACGTCCCGAAATCATGTTGATCCAAACCGCTCAATAAAGCATCTGAGCTTGACAATTGGTGCTGATGTAAAGGTGGCAACGACTTAAAGTCCGCATGATCTTGAGCCTTTATTTCGCGCAGCTTTTTGTTAGAGCGAGTCTTCTCAAGCCATCGGCGGGCGGCAATTTCTGCATCAAAAGTCTAAAGAAAAAGGATAAAGCACCGCTTTAATCATTATCAGATCACTACAGAAGTAAATGCAAGACGTACCCGGTAAATCAACCACTGGTGACCACGTTTTTCATCATCTAGACCGCACTTTGTAGCCGACTTAAATACCGCAAGCTGTTGGTTTGCCTCCTTTTCATGAAGCTGTAGTGAACACCGATATCAGTTCTAATTTTCATAAGGAAATATTGCGCTAAAGTTTGCCGCACCTTGTTACCCCTTACAAATGTTTTATGAGTGATAAAGGATAGCAGCGAAATAAGAAGCACCAAAATTAACCAGTCTGGAAAAATGTGGTTCATCATGACCCCAAAAATGGTGCCAATCAGTGTAGTCGGCTCCATGATACTTGCAACTTGGTAATTGATGAGGGGCAGTCTGGCATCAGCTATAAAGGACTTCATCCGTAAGTCCAAGTACAGCAAAAAATAATTCAAGATACGTACCCGGGTGCATTCGATAAAAATTATAAAAGTAAGAGGAGAGAGCATTGCCGAAAATAGTAGCTTTTGACAAAGGAATAGCATGTTTGGGGCTTACTCCATAGAAACAGATGTACAAAGGCACCAGAAGCCCACCACCACCCACACCGCATCCGGAGCCAAGTGCCGTACTCAGCAATGCAATGATCGTGGCCACCACGTCTTTCCACGTGAAGGGTTCAAACAAGTTCTTTTCAGTGCAATAGGCAATTTGCACATTTTCACCGGTGAGATTATGTGCGTAAGGCGTCTGCAACCCCGTCGTTTTGCGTCGAATTTTCACTTGGCAGCGTTTAGAGCCGTCAGCGCTGCAGTCGTTACTGCCAGGGCGGCAAAAATCACACTTGCTGCGATAAGTCAATGTAATTAGTTTGCGTACTGTAGTCGTAGGATATAAGTACGCACCCAGATATGCAGGACAAAGCAGGAAGGTAACCGCAGTCACTATTTTGATAGCAGTGCAGTCCTCTTGTTTCAAAAACTTGGGCATTCTGAGCCACGCAGAGGGTGACCAAGCTGCCCGAAATAAGCAACGCAATTTTCATGCCCTAAACGAAGATTTTTGTTTCTTCTTTAAATCGTGGCATATGCATTACATGTGTCAGAAAGAGTGTACCTACCATTACACGATTGTCCTTCGAGCGTAGAGCAGAAATCACGGTGAAGTACCATGATGAGGCAACTCAGTCCAGATAAGGGTGATGTAGTCACCGTAATGGGTAGGTCCGTGCGACACTTGGGCTATTAACGCGTTATCGTTTTGATAGTTAATAAAGCATTCTATATAAAACTTAGTTGTAGGGTAAAATAGAGCAACATGTGACTCGAATTTATATTTTGGGCAACGTTACTCAGTGCTACAGGATTACCATGCGCTCTGCACAGTGGAAGCGCTCGAAGAATATGGCTCGTGCACATCTACCAAGGAATCTACTGCAACCAGGTGTCGAAATAGCTCTGTTATCTCAAAGGGTACATATATTTAGGGCTGGTGCTACTTAGACTATTTGTTTGTACTATCTCATAAAGGAAAACAGTGCAAGGAATATATATACATGTATTAATGACCCCGTTAAAGACAAGCCTATATCACATTAGAAGCTTGCTTCTAATGTGATATAGGCAATAGAGTAAGTTTTTTTCACAAAAGGTACGTTTGTACAATCCAGCATTCTGTCTTTGTTGGGTTTTTCACCTACTTCATCATCGGAGCCGTCTAAAAGTTCAAAGCTCCCGACAAAATACCATAACACTGTACGAAATTCTACCAGTACTCATTACGGCGTTTGCTGAATGCGATGTGAAAACGAAAATTTGTTCTTTTGCTGACTGGCAAAACGACATCATTAAAAACGCTGACAGTTCCAAAAGCATCGAGCAGTTGCGCTAAAAAAAACTGCACAATAAATAGGTTAGATTTCGTCTCATTGCTTATGCAAGTATTGTTATCTATAAACTCGACGGCAGTCGTTTCGAATCCTCTGCAATTTCTTTAGATGTGCCATTCAAATGCTCGTAGATTAGAATCGAAGTCGACTTCATGAGACCGCAATCACAATAAAATATTGAATGTATATTTGGGTGATTAAAATTTAAACATCTCAAATAATGATTCTGATGGATTTGATTGACTTCGACTACGTCCTAGCGTGTCGTGCGCTATTGTCCGAACAAGAACTTACAATCGGAACGGCCGACGACTGGATTTGTACTGGGGTACAGGAGCTTGTCGTAGCTCGAGTAGATGACTGTTAACCCTTCACACGCTAGGAGCATCTACGTCGTATTCTTCGAGAGCAACGCTGAAAGAGAGTGTGAGGAGGAGAGCCTAGACACACTTTCGGGCTTCGAGCAACCCTTGGTTGACGTTAAGCCCAACTTCAACTAATCTGCCATCACAAAGTCCGGAAAGAACAAAAACTCTTTAATTTATCGCAAAGCATAATCACTGAAGCAGATCCATCCTAAGAGATTCCGTAGTGTCAACAAGTGTATTTCAGATACCGAAACGCTCATTTACAATCCGATGAAACGAAGATTGGTGCTTAGTGTTGTCGAAATTGATTCTATAACCGTCTTGTCACCATCTACCCGCACACACAAATTTTTGATTAATTTTCACCTCAGTCTTTTCAATCACATGCCCCTTTCAATTGTTGTTGGGACACAACAAACCGCCGGATGTGAAACTTGCGTAAAATGAAACACAGCAACCAAAATTTGCGATAGACATGAGCGAAATGACTTGCCAACATAAAATTACACTTTTGCTACTGTCACTCAAGGACACAAAACTCCAAACTTATTTTGATACAACAGGGTCTTAACGTTTGTAAATGCTACAACATCCTCTTCCTCTATCTCATTATTGTCTCCAACCGTATGTATGAACTTAAATCTCGCTCTTGTAACTTGAGCCAAACACTTGTCATGCTCGGCCTCAAATGAAGTACCAGCTTGTTCATCATAGTGAACTAGATGCAGTTTCCATTCCTATCAGCGCCACTGCATATTTGAATCTGCTCTTCGTCTTGACAATTAAAACCCATCACTCCAGAGTCTGACGTTCACATACATGTTCAGCATTTCAATACACGATCCATACTCGTCTTGATCGGTATCAATCTTAATCGAATGTGAGGATCCGAAGGTACTAACTGTAAACATGACGCAATTCTCCACGTACGATGCATTAACAACTTCCTTGTTTTTCAGTCGCAAAGCTATTACAAAGAGCGTCACATTTTCATCCATAAGCAGAAACTTCGACTGCACCGTCTGCTTAAAACACCTACTTCGCAAATTGTGAATTTTCGTTGTTTTCCCTGAGAACGAAAGGGTGCGTTGTTTACGATTTTGAAGACTATGATTGTTGTATATATATTAAGTTTACTGAGCTTCGGTCTCACCAGCAGGGTGTTCCTCAATAGCTTCTAACGATTGCTGCTGGAACTTTCGGCTGCGTACGCTGATAAGCTTTCTAGATTTACCTGATCGCGATAGCAGAGAAGATTGAGGAGACTGTTGCAATTTAGGCTTCTCTTCATGTTCATGCAACTGCTCCTTGGGCGTGTTTTGTTCTTGTTCTTTGTAAACGAAGAACATCGACTCATAGCTATCTTCGTCTTCATCATTTGGTGAAAGATTATCGTGCTGATAGTTCTTTTCGCTGGATTTCACTGCATACCATTCCTCTTCCTCATTAGCTTGGCTGCCATCAGTACTTTCCCGTGCAGATTGGAGGATGACAAAGTTGTCTGTGCTCACTCCGTACGGATCGACGCGGCGCTGCATTTCTTCTATTGGCTCGCGACCGTCCAAGAACCACATCATGCCACCTTGTTGCTGCTCGCAATGAATTGAAGCTTGCATTGGCATATTTTCGTCATGATCTAAGAAGTCCTCAGCAGGATTGTCGAAGTTGATTGGCGAGTTATTCGCCACCAGACTGCTGGGTCGGTAGTCATCTTCAAAATCGCTGATAACTGTTTCTGCCATCGAGCCACGATTTGTCGTGTGCAATAATCTGCATTTGCTTTCATCCTTGCTTGACACAGTTTGTTTTAGGCTCCCGCTAAGTGATTTCAGACTGGATGGAGACTCGGAAATGTAACTCGTCAAAAGAACGAGCACGTGGGCTTGGCGGTGGTGACGGGCTAATGCGACAGCAGCATCAAGAGTATGCACATCCGCTACTTGACGCGTGAGCAATTCTCGTACGCACTCGTATTGCCCGTTTGTTGTAGCAACACACAGTAGTGATTGATTTTCGAAGGTGTACTGAGCCCAGTCGTACTGATATTGTTCCAGCAAGTAAGCCAGAAAACGGTGACGACCGTGCTGAGCAGCTACAAATATCGGCATCGGGAGCTTGGAATTTGAAGGCTCCATTGCAGCTTGAAATAGAGGTCGCGCTGATGTCACTGAAGATGGAGAGGTTGATAAAGCGGTCGAGTACCCCGAAAGCGATGAAGCTACAGGCACACGGCATTTCTGCAATCGATAAAAAGCTTTTGAATGATTATGGCGAATTACGAGGCAATACATTGCGCGACTGAAATGAATAAGCACTTGCGGTTCTTCAACGAAGACGTCAAGCAGAAGACCTAGAACTTCATCATTACCGACTCGACAGGCCAACAGAAGTGCGTTAAGTTGACAAGAGGATGTGGACCGACGAAATCGGATCCCAGTAGGCTCCTTCCTTTCCATCCAAATAGGTGAAGCACCCTCGTGCAATAGCTCCGCAACCTGTCGAACTTTAGCTAATTTCACCGCTTTGCGTAGTCGTAATTGCAGTTCTCGATGGCCGCGATTTTGACTATTGTCATTATGAATCTTCCGAATGAGATTACGCACGAAAGTAGAGACATTTGTCATTCTCGTTCAAAAGCGGGAACTTTTAAGGGCGCTAGAGAGAATTGGAAAGTGATTGGGATATTGTGTCTTGGCCAACGTCTATTAGCTTTGATCGGTGAGTCTCTCGCCGCTTACAGCTCCCGACCCGAAGCCATTTATTACAAGTGGTACCCCAGTCACTGTGACATACCCCCAGTCACCATAACATATCCTCATCCGATGCATTTTAAATTGGTATATACTCTCTTCCGCTTTATGAAGTAGCAGCAGCTGTACCGCATTCAAGATCTCGCATAACAGACCAAATTGTAGCAGCAGGTAAGAGAATACTTGCTCTATTCGTATGTCGGCCAAACAACCCAACTCACAGTCCGATCTCGACCGCTTTGAAAATTAGCGGGCGTTTCAGCGGGAGGATCTTGAGCCACACAATGCATTGTGAGTGCTTATGATGTGGAGTGAGTCCGACCATTGCCAACGCGACGACACATTAGCAACTGGCAATGCGAGCTGTGTGCTGTTGCTAAAGCGAAGTATCGCCACATTTTTTCCGCATGGGTGAACCATCGAAATACACAGATGTTGTCAAGAAATGGATTAATTAGCTGATGTTGAGGCGAAGCGTCAAAATGACGTCGATATTTGCCTGTAGCACCATCGGGGTTACGGAGAAGTACAGTTAGAGCAATAACTGGTTATTAAATGACCGGTGAAAGCCATGTATGTGGAAATCAAATAATTGTCAAATTCGAAGGCTTCGCATGCGCAACTTGCTTTTTGTTGCATTAGAAGCGCTAACTAGACAATTGCACAAAATTCAAGTTGTACTTCGGATAGATTGCGAAGTAAAGAAAGGTCTTGGATCTGATGAAGCAATGGGTTTGCACAACGAAAGATGAATCTGCATTGACAAATGCGCACAAGTCGGATTTGTTCGTGCCACCAAGGAGCCGAAGCAAGAGACTCTCATATAAGTTTTTAGTTTACTCTACTCTTCTGGTTAAAGACTAACATGAAAAAAAATCTTATTGAGCTGTACTCGCCACGGTTGCCTTCAATCATGACACACATTTACAGCATAAGATATACATCAGCGACCACCTCCACATCGTCCTCAAGGTGCCCTCAAAGGTTAAAGCTCCGAATGTTTATGCTGGGTCGGTACCTGGTGGTAGAGGTGGTTGTCGATCTTCGTTCACAGCGTGTATGCTCTGGTGGACAATGCGGGGAGAAGGTGGCTTTCTTCGAGCGTTTCCCAGTAGACATATTGGGCGACAACACCTCGCACATTGTCATGGGGGGTCTCAACACTACACTTGACCGACTGTTGACGCATCCAGTTCACGTTCAGCACCACCAATTGACAAAGCGGGTGTTTGGATTTGGCTAATCAACTCAACGTTGTTGAAGCATGACTATTCCACCACCCAGACAAACCTGTATACACTAGGCCTCATCCACAACGAAACTGGCTTGACTATATTTTGCTCTCCAATGACTTCTTTGGTGCCGTCAACAGGGACTCCATGTACTTCGAGCCAAAGGGTGCTGGTGATCACTTGGCACATTGGGTGACACTTCGATCCATCGCACAAATTCACAGACGTGGTGTCTGGCGCTTCTCGCGAAACTGCTTGATTTCCCAGACGTTTTCCAAGCAATTGAAGAGAAAGCACAAGATACCATGCGACAAATACGCCTATCGGCCAAGCCAGGTAGACATGGCATTTGTGGAAACGCGAGAGACGCAAGCTGATCCAGGCTCTAGTCAAGAAATTACTATGTCAGCAGGAGACAGCGGAGCGTGCTGGGCCCGGAATTCTCTCGACAGCTGAAACACACTACCGCCGGGGTCATGACGAGGTATCGCATATCGCCTTCCAGACTGCGCTGCAGGAGCGCGGTGGATGCGCCTCGACATCTCGTGCGTACAATTAAGATACGGCTTTTGGCTTCCAAGCATTCATGACAGAGATGTCGTCCAAGTATATCCTTCGACAACTGAACGGCTCGTCAGCATCGAGATAGTATAGCTGCCAGATGGAGATCCGTCAATTAGCTTGGCCGACATCTCCGATATGCTTCGAAATCTTTGAAAATCGACCATGGGGTGGCTTCACTACAGAGTTATATCAAGTAGCACCAGGCTTGTCTGGGAAGTGTCTCGAGATCGTGTTTAGTTTGTAACTGGGTTGAGGCGAGCTCCTGCCATGTATCGCCAATCTGCCATCAGCAATTTGCACAAGAGTGAAGAGCACGCGAACGACGGAAACTAGTGTCAAATCGCGCTCATGGGTGTGGACATTAAGGCTCTACCCAAGGTGTTCCAGGCGTATCTGCCCAAGCACACCCACCCAGACCAAAAGGATTTCGTGAAGGTTCAATCGCTTTATCATCACGTCCGTTCTCTGTTCACCTGATGACGGATTGGGCAACGTAGTTTTTTCGCGACTTTGAGAAGGCGTAGGCCCAAGTCAATGGAACACAATATTCTTAATCGAATGGAATGAAGAGGCGAGTACCTACGCTGGTTGCAGCGTTTTGACCTTCGGCCAGAAACACTTACATGATCACCAGTCGTGTTTAGGCCGACATCAAGCCGACACGCGGAGTCAAGCAAGGCGACCCACTCTCAGCACTGCTATTTTTACTGGTGATCAAGCCACTCGGGAATCTACTTCGACAGCATGGGTATTTGCCTCACGGACGATTGCACTATTACCAGCGTCTTCTTCGCTGACACTCTCATTTCAGCAGCTCGCGTGATGCCGTTCAAGCTCAGCTTGACATTGTCAACGAGTACTGTAGATGGTCTGGTGCGAAGCTAAAGATGACCAAGTTCGAGCCTCAATCGCTCGACGGTCGCACCTCGTGTGAATTCCCTCTGATCACTGGGGCTCGACGATATGGCGATACACCTCGAATGTTTCTTTGACTAACGCGTTACTGACGACATAATCATCTTTATTCGACAAGAGGTTCTAACGACGGGTTTCAAACTTGGCATTGACGAACACGTACGATTGGTGACCCTTCTCTTATCGAGTCGACTATGGTGTTGTCTCGACTGTGGCATTACACCACGCATGTTGTCGTACCCGATCGTCTGCTGAAAGAATAGCATCGCTTCGGTTTCGGCAGAAGCTATGAGCGAGGCAAGCGATACTCCCAGCTGATCCCTAACAATTTCTAGGCAAGCGTCGACATGTGGGCGGAATCCAGATACCCAACATCAGCGATCTCGTGCAGCGAAAACGTATCCAATTGCTTTTGCAGGACGTGCGAGAATCCGACTCCACCGTACGCAATGGACTACGCCTGGCTCTCGATTGATTACAGACTTCTTCTCAGTGTGAAGACGAAGACAGTAGCTGTTTAATTGACCGTGAACTCCAGCATCATTGCTTTTATCTCGACTGGGCCTATGTTCTAACGTGGTGGCGCAACTGGTTTGTTCTGTGATGACGACAACATGGTAAGATCTTGAATAAAAACGAGCGACTCGTGTACGCGATACACGGCGACCCAGTCTTCCAGTACGAGCCTTGATCCCGAGTTTCGGATCAAGTAAGCCCACGTCATTATTTTTGCATGGTGGTAGAGCCACAGCAAACTTTCGTCGGCATGTGGTATATGCCTTCCACATTCGGACCCCGCCAATGTGCTGGATGACAACGATATAGGATTACAGAAAAACAATTCGCGGAAGCTCACATCGACTATAGCTGCGATGCTTTTCTGCCGTATTAACCGTTTCGGTGGTAAGGCGATGGGCGACGAATTGACACAAGTGCTTCACAGGGTTGCGGCTAATTGATGTATTCTTATGGATCACAGGATATCTCACACGTAGTTCATCGTAGCACCATACGTCGTAGTGAACAACAACGGGCAGCCACGTATTGTACCAAGCGTCCGATTATTTTGCACAATATCGATATCAAAGCATCCGACAGTGCAATAAAGCGCTTTGTACAGCTGCGCAAACGACTTCAGCAGACACTTTTTCCGATATACAAAGGCCTACAGCTCCGTGTTGCCTTCCGATTGCTTGCAGTACGAGTTCGCTTCTCCTCCATGACTGTAACGGATTCTGACATCATCTGTTGTCCATAGGAGGGTTGTCGCTTGTCTCAAAGACGAACGGCACTTGATCTTTGATTATGCTCTCGCAACTGCGGTGTAGACTACAGTGAATGGTCCTGCTCTCGCGTACCACGACATCTCATTCACGGAATTCCACTGCACCAATATTTGGTATTATAGATATTTAAAAATATACAACAGCGCAATCTAAGTTTTAAAAGTGTCTGTATTAGGGAATTTAATACGACTTCGACTACTCTACT